GCATATATGTAACATGGCGCATTCTCTTCAATCCGTTAAAAAATTAAGAGGGGAAAGTCGATCTCGTCACAAAAATTACGTTGACTAATTTCAAATTGGGAAAATGAAGAACGAAATTAATTCGTCGCAATCCGTGCGACGTGTGTTTCACACGAGAAACAATTGACGCTTTTTTTTTCAATTTGCTATACGAAATTGAATTTAATCCGAAGGCCTATATTTATTTTAATTAAACTTGTAGGCAGTAATTTTTATCGAGTGCGGAGTATTTGTTTGATTCTCTCTCTGATTTTATCGCGATGTCTCGTTCAATCGGGCGATTTAAGCGCCGTAAGAAAGGGAAACGCATTACGAACGATCTTTCTTCTTTTGTTGTGAGTTTTCTTCACTTCTTGCCGCAACGTGTACTGTCATATTAACAAACTGCCTGCGATGAAATGGTTTTTGCTATTCGTGTGCGACTGCGCGGTGAGACGTGAGCCTTCGGCTTAAAGGGGGGAGGACTTCTTGCCCATTGTGGGCGACACTTAAGGACCGAGACGGCCCTTTCCGCAAACTCAATCCAATTTCTCCCCCATTCGTCACTCTCCCAGTTTCTTCCGTGGGACGAAAAACGTTTGAGCGGCGGAAGCGACCAGCGCGCGTGTCTATCTAGCGGGAAAAACGGTGCGACATGTAATATGAAATTAATGAATTTGAAACATTAAGTAATTATTAATTGAATTATATCGTCGGAGAAGGACGAGCGTTCTCTTCTCCGTCACAATCGGGGACGAGTAGCAAAGCTCGCGAGTATTATATTTCTTGCGTGCAACGCTGGACTCATCGCCTCTCTAACACACACACACACACACATACACGCGTGCGCACATTTATCTTACATAATTTATCACGGCGTATTGTCTGTATGAACGGCAATGGAAGTTCCTTTCCGACATAAGCGTCAACAAGCCAGATATTCGTATACGGACAGTGTCAAATAAACGCGGCGCATCTATCGGGCCGGATGCCATTCGGGCGACACAATAACGTGTGCCGACGCGCCTAAGATTTATTAATTATCCGCGGCAATCAATTATCGGGGATTGCCCTCTGCCGTCCGATCCGTTTTGTCGGACGTACTTCATGCCTAAATTCCGCCACATTATAGGTACGCTTTATCTATATCGCCCCGCGACGCCGTCCGTCGCGCAAGTTTTTCAATTAGCTGTCGAAGCTGTGTTTTAAACGACCGAACTTCTCCGAAACGCTCCGGGATATATTCGCGGAGACGTGCGGACACTTCCCCGTCCGCGGCGCTATTGCTCTTAGGGACACCTCATTTGTCTCGCCAAACATATCATTCATTGTGCGGGACAATGACGGAACATTTGCTCTATTGCTTCAGGATGGGCTATTCTGGGACTTCAGCGTCTTCTTATACATATATATATATAAAATATATAATATATACATATATAGATGAATATATGAAACCAAGACCGTCGAGCCGTGCACGACGGTGATCTGTCGCGTATCATATTCGCGTAAGTCATCCGTCAAGATTATTTAGCATATTTCGCCTCCCCCCTCTTCCCCCGGGCGCGAAAAGCGGTGCCTCGTATATTTCTTCCCTTTTCTTTCGAGCCGATTATTCCGGACACGAGAGAACAGCTTCGAGCGCGTGTACATATTTCTTAAGCGAAAAAATCGTAATGCATTCGAGAACGTCTTAGGTCCGATTGCACCAACATTATTTTGACTTTAAAGCGGCGTCTACAATGAGACTTAAGACTCAAGAATTAAGAAAATTGACCAATCACAATCGATTATTCTTTTCACGTGAGTTGAATGATCGACTATGATTGGTCAATTTTCTTGAATCTTAAGTCTTATTGTAGACGCTTAAGCGAGGCCTAAAACTCTTTTTGTCCCTCTGTCTTAAGGTTTTAAAGAGAGATAGACAGAGTTTTAAGTCTTACTGAAGTCAAAATAACCTTAGTGCAATAAGGCCTTAAGGTATACTATATAATAAATCGAGTATCTCGGAAACTGCGAAAACCAAATTGCATCGCTCGCGGAATCCTCGACATATGTGGCATAATGAAATATCGAGACGGGCCTTTTTATCTCGACATATGACAAAGCCGGAGTGAGTAGCGGTGATCCACTTCTCCCGATATTGTAGATACACGAAGAATAGTCAAACTTCTGCCTTTCCTTCAAAAGGCAGACTCTGGCTTTGTCTTTCGGTCAAAGTATTTGCTTTATTCTTACCCGCACGTTCGCGTATATTCTTTTTTGACGAATTTTTCTCAGCGAGAAGGGTTTTGTGGCCAAAATGAAAATGCTCTTGGCGACCTTTCATTCGATATCTTATTCTCAGCTTCCTCCTTATAGGTATATCTAACTGATGCTAAAACATTGATATAGCATTCAATAACTAAGGTACCGATTATAAACATCTCTAAATACACCTCACGCGAATGATTTCTAATAGCACTCATAACGTGAGAAACGGCGAGACATTAAAAAATAACATTGTTTTCGACAGACAAAGAGTACGAGAGGTGTTTGAGTGTTTGCTCGGAAAGTAGTTCAATTCTTATCAACGCTGCACTGTTACAAATAACGCCGCGTTGCTGATACGAAGTGCAATCGCAAAATGTAAAGAATCGCGCGGTGAAATGAAATCATATCGCCAGCAGAGCGAGGAGAGATTCGCGATACCTACTGAATCAGAAGAGATTAATTTCGAATTATCGTCCCGATTTATGCACATTGCGAGCACCGCTCGAACAGAATTTATATAGCGATTTAATTGATTAGCGCTCGGCGGACGCGCTCGCTTAAAATTTTCCGCGCCGACCAGAAGTTTCGCGCTCGCGCTCGAAGACGATGTAGGTATTAGGTATACACTCTTCGCCGGGGATACATCGATCGGGGTAGAAATGGGCGAGGACACGTAAAAGAACGTCTCTTGCCAAGCGAGCTCAACATTCACGGCTGCATAACTTTGCAGGAGGCGCGAAGTTTTTTTCTCTCGGCAAGTGCGCGTCGCACGCGTAGAGAATTTTCTAAGGGCGCGCACCGTGAAGAAGCAACCCTATATTTTCACGCGACTTGAATATTTTCTCCGGTGCTGCAAAATGCGCGTCTTAGGCGGCTTTCGTCACCGATCCGGTCAAAATGTATGAACCTGATGTATTCCGTATCGCTGGAAAACCAAGCGAAAAAAAAGAGCACTGCTCTTTCTTGGCCGAGGAAAGGAAAACATATTTCAGATCATCATTGTGGGACTTGAAAATTAAATATGTATGATGTAGCATATAATTTTATACGCGACACATCTGTCTACGCGAGAGGAGATTGCATTGCGCATTGCGCCAGCAATTTTATTACCAAACTTCGTAACGTAATAAAAAAAAAAAAAAACAAGAATTGACAGGGCACCGACAAAGAATGTCGTTGCGCGTAAACAATTCACGCGCAGAAGGGAGCGGCATTGCTTTTAAATTTCTTATGCGAGAACGGCCGAAGTTTTCGCGCGAGCTCGACGCTGTAAAATGCCCGGCTTTGCTTTTCGTACATAAGGTGTCAGAATTTTCTGGACCCTCTCTCTATCTATAGCGATTGTAAAATTTAGTGCATTTTCGGGAACTTCGGATATAAAGTCGGAAATTTTACAAGCGCGCGGGGCTCGGACTTTCGGACGAATTTCCTTGCGAAATTTTATTTCGCGCGAGTTATCGCTTGAATTATTATCGCGAAACTTCTTCGTCGGCCGATACGCGGTTCTCTCTCATGGACTTCCCGAGATATATAATTCGAGGGAGGAGTAGGAAATTTAAAAATGAATCGAGACCTGAAAATCACTCATCAAAAAGTTTTCGGAACATGAAAAGAACGATTTTGCTGGATATAGATTTGAAAGTAATTCTTGTTGGACTATCAAATTAACTTGGAAAGTTAAAAAAATGATAAGTATTTTTAATTTTCCAACAAAATTATTTCGATATTCTAGTAATCAGTTTGATTTTCTAACAAAAATTATTTTCAGATCTGTATCCAGCAAAATCGTTCTTTCCATGAATGGTTTTGACATATAATTTCAATGACTCGTTATTATTACATATTTAAGAAAATGAGAAACGATGAAACCAAAAGAGCACAATTTCAACACATTTTTAATATTTTAAAAATTTAATATTTTAACAAACTCACTTATATTATTATACATTTCTAATTTTTTATTGATTTTATTTTGGATAATTTTTTCAATCTGCATTTTATGTCTTAAAGATTTAGTATTAATTAATATTATACAAATTAATAGTAGGTACATAGTAAGTATACAATTAATTTTATTTCATTTATTTTAATTTATTTTGTCTCGCTCGCGTATCAGTTTGATTAAAAATTACGCAACGGTATTATCGGCGATATCAATCGCGCGTTATAATTCGTTCTCGGCGAGATTTTTTTCTGCCCTCCGACCTGAATTAACTCTAACGCGACCTCGCTTAGGGGCAGATATACGGAAGCTAAGCCGGAGAAATGTGGCCATAACTCTTACCCCTCGTCCATTTGAGATTTACGATCACACGGCAATTACGAGCGGAGTATATAAATACGCTCCCTCGCGATAATTCGATAATACGGCGCTCGGTCGTTTCTCCGTTTTCGCTTTCGCCGCTGCGCGGGAGGGTTCTTCTTAGGTAATAAACTGCGAATAAACGGCGGATACACCCGCGTAGGACTCTTAGTTTGCTATATCATCGCGCGAGAGCAGAATAACGGTTTCCGTTTCAGCGCGGAGCTTTGAGGATCTAATAACTTCGCGATATAACCAGTAAAAGGAATACATGCAGTGAAATCTTTGGCAAGAGAATACAGAACAAGATGTATCATAAAGAAGATTTTATCAGCAGACTTATCAGCGTAACGTAAAACAGCTGCACATACATTTATAATTTGATTTGAAGATTTTAGAATTGCAAGAGAAAAAAAAGACGTCACTGTCATATGTAAAGCAATATTTTATATTTATAGGAAATGATTTATGTTTTTAACACAATCTTTTTCACATGCACTATTTACAATATAACTCTCGCCAAAACATATTTGCCCACTTCAGAAACGTTTCTCTCGTTAAATTCTCAAGATTTTGTTGTTGCTCGGTGCCTTGAAAGTAATTCACGCAATCCACGTTTTCATCCAACGTGGAATGAATCTCTCTCAGTGAATCAAGGTTTCCAACTGCGAGGCGCCGAGACTATACATGTTTCCAACGGCGGCGCAATTAGGCCTGTTTGCCCTTGCGAAAGTGGCACGGTAAACTTGGCGACGATTTTTCAGGGATCACGCGAGGACTCCAATCAGGTCGAAGAGTCCCAGTGGGCACTGCGGTTGGTACTTGGAGCAGCTTCCATTGCGGCCGACTAGCTCGGCCTCGACAACATCTCGCGGCAGTCCCTCGTGCCTCGAAGTACTCGGGCTGAAAGTGGAATTCTCTAATATAATTAAATCGCAGCAATCTAGTGTCCTACGGTGCTTACATAAGGATTTATTTACGAGTTTCAACATCAAATGAACTCAGACAACACAAAGTCTAAAGATGATGCGTAAGACGTCTTTAAGACGTATTTAATTCAGATGTCTTTTCATGCAGCGTCTACAATGAGACTTAAAACTTAAAATTTAAGAAAATTGACCAATCACAATCGACCATTCATCTGACACGTGAAAAAAATAGTCGATTGTGATTGGTCAATTTTCTTAAATCTTATTAAGTTTCAAGTCTCATTGTAGACGTCGCTGAACTCGGCCCTAGACACTTCTGTGAGAACTATCAAAATGATCTAAAAGATGACTAAAAGACGTCTTATGCGTCGACTTTAGACTTTGTGTTGTCGGGGAACTTCTTTTTCGCGTAAAGGCTCGGTTATACAAAGATTTTTATATAACAGAAAGAAACGAACATTCATTAGATTCGCAATGTCGCATGCTCTGGCAACTATAAACGCTCGCGAAGGAATTTAGAGAATCTCGTCTGAAGATTCGTCCGAGGCGCTTCTATCTTGATTCCGCCGAAAATCACGACGCGATCTTCTGGCATCTCAGCGTTCAGGGAAATTGGCCGAGAGCCTTCATCGCGAACGCGCACGTCCGATAACACATCCGCGATAACGTCCGATAACATATATCTGCGAGAATAATTTTCATTTCGTAATCACACGGACCTTCGTACATATTCGTTCTCCCTTGGGCATTGGTCGCTTGGGGATGCTGCCGGTAAGCGGCAGCCGCGAGACGGCAAAAACAACTTAACCCAGCATCTTGCATGGTGATCGTCATTTCGGGGAAAACCGATTCCGCTGGCCCAATTTTTATACCGTCCATTGTTACAGCGATACGATCGGTTTATTGGAGTTTTATTTCGCCCTCGTTCTCTCTCTCTCTCTCCCTCTCTCTTTTTTCTGCCCCCTCCCTACCCGCCCCCCGCGCCTGTGCCGCGCCCTTCCGCCGATCTCCGTCTCTCGCGATCCCGCGTATCCTTGTCTCTCCTCTCTTTCGAGGGGGGAGGAGGGGAGGGGGGGGGAAGCGGTACGCGAGTCCCCGGTCTCTCGATGAGAGACGATAAATCTTGAATATCCTGCGTGCTGTGGAAAACGAACCGAATGAAAAATATTTCCCTTCACGGTGATGTTTCGCGTTGTTCTTTCCCCGGGGGCTCTCTTGCGGGAGCGAGTGAGGCTGCATCCCAGGCCGCGTATCCCTGGAATATCCGACGGGCGCTTTCCGACCTCCCCGTCCGCGCGTCGGGGGGGGGAGGAGCGCGTTTCGAGAAGTTTATTACCGGTTTTATTAAAATTTAAGGACGTCGTAACTTCGCGACTTCGTTATGTCGAATGAAGTTGTTCGGCATTTTCTGTCGGACGGAGAGGATAATGAAAGAGCGCGCGCGGTGTGTAGTGGCAAATCTCGTGCCAAATCTTCCCGCCGAACGCTGCAATGAAGAAAATTTTAATGTAACACGAACGACGGGAAGTATCTAGTATCGTTATTGAGGCGTTATTATAAATCCCCGCCCGACGCGTGGCGGACTGTCCCGATTTCCCTCGCCGTTGTCTATTACTCTTACATCTTATCTCCTAATTTCTAACGTTCCGGTTTCTTATGACACTCGCGATTGGCGTGGTTCGCCGGGAAAGGATCTTTCCCGTGGCCGCGGCGCGGCGGCGGTTTGCGGAAGAAGAAACGCGGAATTCTCCTCCGTAATTTCCGCGTTTCTTCTGGCAGTCAAAAAGAGACGAGGACGCATCCGGAACGGGTGTGTAATAATGCATCAACGTTATACCAAGCGGCGTGGGAGGCTGAGAACCAAGACGAAGCGAAACGAGCTCTCTCTTTGTGCTCTTTTCTTTTCCTCCTCCGCTATTCTTACGCGGATCGACGCGGGGAAGGTCGCGCATCGTCGTCATCATCGTCGGCGACGCGACGCGACGCGACGATGCAAGAGATACAGGACAGAATTGCGTATCTCTCTCGCGTCGAGATACAAAAATCTTACAGAGACGACCCGTGGTACCTTCCCCGTCGTTTGTGTGCAACCGTCGCGGCGCGGCGAATCTTCCGCCCCAGATTCGAGAAGGGTCGTTAGCGGAACTCGCTCTAAATAGCTAAGCTGCAGAGGATATATGACGTGTTTAAAAAATTGTCCAAGGGGGATCGAAAAGTCTCAACACCGTGGACTCGGCAACGTATACGTTCTACACGGGAAATACAGTTAAGCGTATATATTTTTCGGCGAGTTTCAGCTCATTTTACATGCGTTCATTCGCACAACGTGTATGTCGTACGTGCGGCCCGCATTTACATAATACAATGACAAAACCACGTAGGACACGAAAAGTACGAGAAGAGCTCTCTCTCTCTCTCTCTCTCTTTCTCTCTTTCTCTCTTTCTTTCGGCTCTCGCGCACGTTCTCAGATAGACACGCGCGATGCGCGCGGTTTCATCAACGCGCATTATCCAATTGCACGCCGCGCGTATTAGAGTAGAGACGTTTCTCGTTCATTCGCGACTCGCGCGGCGAACACGCACGGGCGACAATGTCGTTTTCGCCCCGCGGGTCCGCGTGTCCCTTATTCATATATACGTTCCTGGTCCGGAGTGCTTACTCGTCCGCGAGAAGGAGGTCGAAGCCGAGCGCGGATGCACGTCTCTGTAAGGCCGAGAGATTGCCGCGAGGAAGCCAAATTTGCTTTTCTACGGGCGCGCGTATCTACTCCAATTTGCAGCGCCTTGGAACGCCGCGTTTCCGGAAGGAGAGAAAAAAAGAGGCCCGCGCGAGCAGCGCTCCTATTCCTTTCTCTCAACTTTTTCTTTTTTTTTCTTCTTTACGAAGAAGAGAGGAAACTCGCGTCTGCCTCTTTGGCCCATTTTACAAGCTCGTCGACCGAACGATACCGTGTAACGGCAGGGACAGAGGGAAGGGGGATAAAAGAGATTCAACCGCGAATTTATAATTAATTAGATTTACCGATTTTATCTCTGAAAATGACATGTGTACAATCGTGGACACATCGGTTGCGACACATTCTTTTTTATAGATTTCAAAACGCACTAATATTTTGCAAATGCGGATCATGATTGGTGTTATACTGTCTCTAGACTAAAGATAGTAACATCTTGGTTCGCATTTGCAACATATTAGTTATCTATAAAGTATATATTATTTATATTAAATATATACATAATAGAAACCTATAAAAAGTGTCGCAACCGATGTGTCCACGACTGTACAAATCGTTTAATATATATGATTTCTATTCCGAACAAGACATTTTGTGACTCGTTACTGAAGAAATTATTCCCTCGCTGTATTATTATCAAAAGCTTAAAAAAATGTAGCTTATTATAATTATCTTAAAGAACTGCCGAGAATTTATGAAATTTTTAATTTTTTTAAGCGCAGAGGAGTTCGAAGCTTCTCTGGGAATCTTTTCTCGTAACACAAGAAATAACTTCACTGCGACGTCAACGTGATTTATACGTTATAACCTCTTTAAAGAGAAATAATTTGAAATCAAACGCAATTATATACATATAATATAAAGAAGGATAATTTAATTGTCCTTCTTTAATTACGTACGCGATGACGTCATAAAGTTTCGGCATTATCGTTAATGTCGACGGCAGAACACTTACGTGAAGATCACGTGCATGATGTCGCCGATCAAACCGTTGTGTTGAAGCGGAAACTCCGAAGTCTCGCAGACTGCTCTCAGCAGACACTCCCTTCCGGGATAGCCGGAACTACGGAGCAGAGGAAGAAAAATCAAGGAGAGGCTCACGGCGCGGCGTGGCGAGAAATCCGCGAAGGGGGAGAAAGAGGGGGGCGCGAGAAAAGAAGAGATCCGCACGAGCTCGTCGTTGCGGCAACAAATTGTTTACTTTGCGCTCTACGATTCTCTAAAATACTCTAAATACCCGGATTGAAGGCTCGCGCGTATATACGTAATTCGTAGGTACCTGTGTACATCCGCGTCGGGCAATGTAACGCAATTCCCCGAACGCCCTGAATGCTCGTAAAGCCGGGAGCCGGCGGAGTGCATTCGCCTCGAATCCCTCCGCTGATTTCCCTTCTGTTCGCCGCCGACAGCGTCTCGGCGGAACTTCTCCCGCCCGTGTCGCGTCGCGTCGCGTCGCATATCCGCGCCGATCAACGATCCGATTTCGGGGCTTGCGACAATCGACGGCGGCGATCGATTTTACTTGCGTCGTGCATGCCAATCGCGTCGTTTACGACACACTGGATTTAACGACGGTCGGCTTTATCCAGTTTATCCGAGGGGTATCCGTTAGTGCGTATATTCGACATCTTAAACATCGGGAGAGGAAGTCAAACGCGATCGGAGAGCGAAATGAGGAAATAGAAACGACAAAGTTTCGCGATAATCAAAAATTTGTGAAGGGAATGTATTATCATTCGTAGCTCGACTCGCGTTAAACTTTCCTTAAACTTTATTACTATTTAATGGACAGTTGAATTGAATACTTTTACTTATTGTTAGAGAAAACACAAATATCATACGAGAGGTTATCATAGATCGTTTCAAGAATATAAATACCGCAAGGCAATATGAGAGAATTATATTATATCAGGGAGTTCGAAGGTCCACATGTTCGTAAAATGCAATTATTTGTTTGCGAACTTGCCTCTCGAATTTACTTTCCAGAACTCGATAGATTGTGGCCCTCTCGATATTCCGCTTCCTTCTTTTTACTCCTATCCAGGGCTCGACGTACGTTATGTTCGGCGGTAAACTGTAGTTAGCCTCGAAGAAGTACGATAGCGAGATCGAACTCAGAGGATCCTCGAGCGGCACCGCAAACGCGACGAAGATCTGCAAGAAACGTTAATCGTATAATCGCCGCGCAATTTCACTTCTGCATCGGGCTCTGTTCTCGAGATTGGGAAAGTTTTAAGAGAACAAAGATCTTACTTATTTTCTCAAAACTAAGACAATCTTTCAGATTCTGACAAATAGTAAAAGATGTTTAAAAAAATTGTACATTTTTTTTAAGAAGATAAATAAAATATGTCAAATATATTAAGGTACACGGAGAGAATTTTTTTAAAATTTACTCTGAAAATTATGCTAATCATGGAACAACATATTATTTCGACAAATTTTGTGTGATTTACTCTGTTTTTTTTTTACTGTGTACTACAATAATTTTTGTTGTAGTACATAATAAAAAATAAAGAAAGTCAGATAAAATTCATCGAAAAATACTATGTTGTTCCACGATTAATATAATTTTCAGGGTAAATTAAAAAAAATTCCCTCCGTGTAACAGTAGTCGCGCACGTGTCGTTATATCGTAAGTAGTATAATTTATTGCTAAATTCGTAAAAATGTTACTAACAATATTTTTGCACATACTCACACCCATATTACTGTTTTCTGGAAATGTGAGACTTCTAATAGGCCGATGCAAAATTTCTGCAATATCCGAGTTTGCCATTTTTGATAGCGCAAGGTGCAATGTCAATGCCAAGTTAAATATAAAAAGTCTACAATTTAATAAATTTGTTTTGGATTAGACGTGGTGAAAACTCGTTACTGAGGTAGCAACTATTTATAGCATATATTATAGCATGTAGCATATAAAAACAATACAATTGCACAGATTTGTTCTCTTTTTCTTCTCCATATTTCATCTCGCGATAATCATATTTTCCCCTTGTCCGAAGGTTAGTAAATTAGATTAGTTAATTAGTTAATTAGATTAGTATTAGCTCAATTTCTTATTTTATTTACGCGCGGTAATAGATTTGAAAAAAAGAGATATTGAATTGTCAGGCTTACAAAATCTTTTCCGGTTGGCAACACATGGCAGAGCTGGGATTCGCGCAGAAACCGTTTCAATCTGCAGACTTCAGAACTCTGCGCCGATTTTCAGTCACCGAAAGATCGCTTTCCGACGTCATGACATGCAGAACTGGTCTGCAGGCGTGTCACTCTGTACAGTTATGTCACTCTGACGAATCTGTTAATCTGGCGTGCACACGGAAACCTTTTTGTATTAATTAGTTTGCCATCTCCTCGAACGGGATATTGATTGATCCGTCGAAAATTTTGCGATTATAACGATCCTTGAAATTATCACAATAAAAATAAAGAAAGCTTGTTTTCTCATGCTAATAATTCTCTCTCTCGTATAAATTTATTCAAAGCCGAATTATTAATCGAACCGCCGAGTTATTAATAAAACTTCTTTCAAGAATTCTGTTTTTATTTTCTGATATTTGAAAATATATAATAATATTATATTTAGATGAAAAATATTAAGAAAGCAATAATATGTTAAAAATAACGCAATAACGATAATATCGTGTTGGAAAATGCAGTATTTTTAATTTAAGATATAATGTAGTAGTGAAATAGAATCAATTTGGTTATTTGAATTTTCTTGATAAGTAATAATTGGAAATTTCAAACTGGAGACTAAATCTTCAACATGTAATTAATAACATATAATTCTCCACTTTCAAATTACATTTCGGTTTGTTTGAAATGCTGATTGAGGCTTTTAATATCCTCTTGCGCGCTGCAGAGATTGCGCTGCATTTTACTTTATATATTATATAGGTAGATAGAAGATTAGAGATGAAATAAATTACAAAATTGCAAAACGACGGTATTTTAATACCGTATCAACATTCTTTTTTCATAATGGTTATATCCTTCTTTAGTATTGTGTATATTTAGTTTTCTCTTGTGTAATGAGAATTTCAAAGGTAAAACGGTTATTGAAATACGATCTAAGAGATTTCCAATAAACATATCAACACATATTTACAAAAATAGATTTTAGATATATTACATTCTTTTAAGAACAAATAACTTAAAATTATTTTTGCAAAATTGTTTCTGCCTAGAAAGTTCTGCAAGTCCATAAAACTTATCGAGGAACTCACATAACTGCATTTAATAGATTGTATAGATTTAGGTATTGAAATCTCTTGATTGCACTCAAGTGCATCTATAATTCATATATATATATATAATTCCGCAAGTTCTCAAATTGCTCTGATCTAAAATATCTAAATGGATTTAAATGGATCCTAAATTCTGTAATTAAATTTATACGAAAGAATTACGTTCCTGTGATTTATCGTGATACGCAGTAGTGTAGCGACAGATTATCAGTGTTATCGTCTCCGCTGTAAATATTGGCCTAGCGTTTCTCGGCGCGTCTCTCGACGTGAAGAAACGACACCGCGAGCTCTGGCACCGAGCGTTTAATTAAATTTGCATAGGTATACTCTTCGGGCTTCGGGATTCGCTCACGGGGGGG